AATCATCAGATTCCCATGGAAAAGATTAGAAAACCAATGGTAAACCATCAGATTCCTATGGGGAAAGGTTGGAATTACACTACGCTACACTACACTAGACCACAACTACAGCTACAGCTACACTACATTACACAACACTACGCTACACAAATTACACTACGCTAGACTACACTACAGAACACAACACTACAGCACACTACACTACACTACTTTACATTACACCACACTCATTACACCACACCACAACTACAACTGCAACTACAACTACACTACACACATTACACCACACTACAACTACAACTCCACTACACTACAACTACAGCTACGGCTGCACTACACCACACTACATCCAGCAGTTGTGGGTGAGGTGACCACTGCAACCATTGCAGCCACTCCAAGAAACACAACTCGAACCACCTTTCGGTCCACCAGTGGATTTGCTCTGCCATCCATGCATCACAACAACTCACCTCCCCTATAGTGTCCTACCTTTGGAACTTCCGCCAGCGCCTTGTGCGGCACTAAGTACTGGTATACATTATACAAACATACACGTAATACTATATATATATATATTTACATAGATATATTTGTAAATATTGAATATATGCATGTATGATTGTACCCATATATGTTTGTGTATAGATGCATAGATTCCCTGGAAAGTTCCGTCAAAGAGGTCAGCAGCTGGCTGCCGAATCGAGGCCGCATTTCAGTGCCGTGGGCGACTCAGTGGGTGACTGGTGCTATGAAAAGCAATAGGATCTATGGAACCAATTAGAAATGGGGGGGTTCTTTATGGATAATATAGTTATATCATGTTATATCTTGGGGGTTCTTATAAAAGGTTTATATTTCTTTTAAAGAACTCCCATGCGCTATTATAGTAGTTTAATATTAATAACTACTATATGATTTATGGAACATAAGGTTTGGAACTATTTATGGAAATTTATTGTATTCGTTGCTTAATATTAATGATTTATGGTGAAACCAAGGCTTTCATTGGTAGTTTATTGGAACTATAAAAATATATGATTTTTGGAACAATTATACAAATTGGTTTTCCATAACTAATTTTTGATATCATTCCTGATTGGTTTAGTAAACGTTCAAGATCACTAACTGATCAAAACAGTAGTTTATCGGTTTTTATGATTTTGATGTGGATGCAAATGTTACTATCATTGCATCAATTACCGATCCTGAACTACAATAAAATACTATGATTTATGGAACGAATAGGCCCCGCTAGCAAAGGCTGCAAAGGGACCTCTCCAACAGCAACCCAGCCAAGCATAGTTAATGACTCCATCTATGGTTGGTTGGTGCTCCTTATCGCAAAAGGAAAGCATTCTAGTGCCCCTGAACTGGTTGCAAACAAAACTTACAGAACCTGACAATTCATGAATTTGTCATAACTTGCCTGTCAAATGTTTGATTTTCCCTAGATTTTTCCTTCAACCAATCTATCGATAGTATTAGTCGGAAGTCGCAAAGATCCGGTGCTGAGCTCTCTATAAGGCTCGCAACGGTGGCGGATGCCGCACTGGCCAATGGACAAAGGTGGGACACCAAAAAGTGTGGAGTTTTACTGCCCCGGTCATCAAATATAGCAGAAATCCCTTATGAAATGGAGGTCTTAATGGGAACATTTGGGGGAGTTTCCATTGCCATGTTTGATTGACCGAGGGTACATAAGTAGAGTCTAAGGCTCCACGACCTGGGGGTTGACCGTAGTCCCACCTGGTTTGTCTGAAAATTCAGTACCCTAAACTCCAATGGTTTGCAACTTCAGTTTCTTCCCTCAACTTGTCATTAGGGGTAAATCGAAAAACATCCCATGTTTTTGGACAGCCCTCAGCTGCTGAACACGTCCGATTTTTTGTGTTTGAAGCTATGTTTAAAGCACGTGCTACTGAACTTAAGAGCTTGTTACTCTCGTTTCATATATCGGTTCATTCAATTCATGAACACCATCATGTCTTTTTATGGTTTTTTGAACTCCAAATTTTGCTACTTCACCCTTCGTTTGGAGGCAAAATCCCCAATTCCTCTGCCGTTCGCAGGGCCTTGCGCCATGCGAGCTGGCACACAGCACTGCCTTCGGTGACAAGGCATCTTGGCGTTCCACCGTTCCGCAGCGGAAAAACTGGATGGATGGTTGAAATGGATTTCAATGGCCTTTACAATGGGGATAATGTCAACCCCGGATTAATAAACTGTTGTTTATTAATTAGGGGGGGTACTCCTCCAATAGTCATTTCATCTGATACTTAAATGGTATCCTCCCAATTAAACAGCCGTTTGGGGTTTATTAATCCAGGGTTGACATCAATGGGGTTTGAAAAGGGTCTGCTGGGGTCCCAATATTTGTTTTCCGCCATCAGCATCAGCCAATGGCCGCTGTGGTGAAGATGCCTAAACGAGAGCGAAGGAGTCCTGGACCGTTTTTTTTTCAATAGGAATTTGGGTCTTAATGGTGGTTTCGTGTGGTTTAGCTTTTTTGAAATTGCAATTGATTTCAGTGGACGCAGTGTTAACGAATGGTTTCCCCCCTGGAAACAACCATTGAATGAGTCTGGAAGAGGTTTTTTCTGTGGGAAATGTCGGTGTTTGGGTACCCATCTGGGTTTTTCAAGGGTGCCTATGGCTTGGATTGGAGAGTTCATTGGTACTCGGGGCTCCCTGAGGCCGCTTTGCACAGCTGCTTGGAGTCAAGATGTGTCAAGGGTGGCCTTGGTGGCAGAAGTAACTACGGATCATGAAGTCAAAAGTTCCCACAGGGGCAACTATAGTTACTATAGTTCAGAAGGAGCGGGGTAGCAACCCCAGTCGTCCAATCTTCTCCACTCAAAAGCCTTGTTTTGGGAAGGTACTGCAATTTTTCAAAAGTCCTTATAGGATATTATAAGGATAATCCTTGAAGCTAATCAATCATTCCTAACTGACTGGCTAATAAAACCCGTGAAATTGCAAGTGGTTCTTTCTTAATTAATTGCCGATGATGATGAGTACACAAGATAGTTTGAATATACCTTCGGAGCACACACACACACATATATATAATATAATGTTGGTAAAACAATAACAAACCATCCCCAATTTCACCATAAATAGGTTGTATAAACCATTCCCACATCTTACATTTGCTGAAGGTGATTTTTTATTTTCCTGGTCATATGTGCCATGAAAACTGCGTCACGGAAAGCCAGCGGCGCAAGCGGTGGTGCCAATGTGTTGATTGCGCAGGAAAGCCATAGAAGTTGTTATTTTTTCCCAACCCTTTAGGCAAATCCAAGAAATGGATGGTTTATTATGGTTTATTATTGTTTTAACCACGTTACCCCAAGTCCGACTCAACACCTCAAATCAAAGGTCTCCTTTCATTGTTCATAGGCCTTTCCAAATGGCATGTGGCCTAGATCCCTGGAAGAATGGCTATGTTTAACAGGCAAGGCATCCACAAATTTGTCATGTTCCATGGCAATTATATACCAGAAGGTTAGACTTTGATGAACACAACACTGCCAGATTCATCTTGGCTATCAATTCTCAATTCTCGATCAAAACCAGTGGTTTCGGCGTTTAACCAGTTGTGAACAAAATCCTCTACTAAAGGAACCAGTCAACCCCTAGCCAGCCATCATTTCTTGAATGACTTTCGCTTTTTCTTGTGGTGAAAACCTAAAAATCCCTTGAAAAACCATTCAAAATCATCAACCACCATTAAACACCATAAGTTGTCTCGGTAAATCCTTTGATCAGCGCAAACCCTGGATCAACTGGTCACCGCGCGCACCGGCTCCAAGGCGTTTCAGGCACAGAGCCCAGACCGGTGTGTTTTGTTGTATGTGTCTCGTATACATCGCACATCACATATATATATAATATATACAGCAACCGACAGTATTATGTTTATATAGTATATATATATATGTATATTATGTTTATATAGTATATATATATGTATATTATACACTGGTGGGTAGTTTCAATGGTTTCTCAATTTCAACTCTACTTTGGATAATTATATATTCAAATTGACGAGCATGTTTTTTCAGATGGATTAAAGCCGCCAACCATATATGTATATATATATATATTTGTTATGTAAAATTGCATGCAGCCTGCTGTAGACATACTTAGATGATCTTAGATGTAGGTGTATATTTTACGCGTGTTAAGTGTAACAGTCTTTTAGACCAACAGTTTTGTGATCAAAATCATCACATGTGACGCAACGTTTGAAACGGCGCATTGCGCAAGAATTGGGGTGCTGGTAGCCTGGTGATCCTCCTGTCTCTTCTGTTTCTTTTCCTTGCAATTGAATTGCGCTTAAAACTGTGGCTATTCTTGGCGTTTTTCTCTACAAACTTCTTTTTGTTTCTGGTAACCCGCATCGTCCTTCTTTGCATTTACTGTTTGTCTCTTTTGTGTAATATGTTATTCCTCTATTTTGATTGAACCTACGCCCTAGCCATTGTTGTCTTGTTGCTTGAGTAGTTCTGTTGTGCTTGCACTTTCTTTGTCCCAATATTGGTTTAAGATGGTTTAAAGGAAATCCTGCAAGGAAACTGCATACTTGGTGGTAGAAACTAGGGTTTTTTGCGATATCCTCTTGAACCACTCATATTTCGAAGGTTTTGAAGTTCCTGTCACCCATGGACATCATGCCATCCGGAACTTTGTCGCCCAGGTGCAAAGTCCAGATGATCAGCTAAGGGAGAACTGGTCGAAGCACTTGAAAGCCGGGCAGCCCGTTTCTTGAATTTTGTTGGCTGGTAATGATTGATAAATCGCCAATAGCATGCCAGGTATTTAAACCATTTAAACCATCCTCATCCATCCTTTCTATCGGCGTTTGTGGGGGGTGAATCCCAGAGTTTCATCAGCACTGTGTGTTTTTTTGTTGGAGTTGTAAAGGTTAAATCCCCATAGGATCCCTATCATTTGGGAGTCAGATCCCTGTTGGATCCTATTGGGAGCTATGGATCACTATGGCCAGGTTCCAAGTCCCCCAGTGTCAGGTGGAGCAGGCACGAAAATTTTCCACCTGCATCAAGGACGATCAGAAGAATCGATGGGTCAAGGGGTCAAGGTCGGGTAAAAGATGGTAAAAGTATCAATTTTGCTGGGCTCAAATGATCGAGATCATCAAGTTGGGGATTTGTGGAGAATTGTCAGAACTGTTGTGATGATAGGGAAGCTGTTTTGCAACAGTCGGAACTAAGAGGGTGACTCTTTTTCTGTTTCACCTCAACTCGCCCCGGTGTCGCTAGCGAAAGGACGTTTGCAACAGAGATCGAGAAAACCAAACATGCATTGTCTCGAAGAACTCTGGCAATACCGCGGGTGGTCAAGTGAAACAGGAAAACGTTGTCGCGTCTTGGCTTGGGGCGTGGGGGGGTGTCTATTGATTGTTTCACCCCTGGTGAAGCCAACAAAATTGAGATTTGACCATTTTGTGGCATCTTATTATTTGGTTATCTCTGAGGACTGGACAAGGGAAGATTTTACAAGACACCCAAGACACCCCATGTTTGAACATCTTTGATGTGCAGCATAAACATGTCTTCCAAATCAATCCACAATCGACAATCCAAGGTGTGGTTTCTCTGCGGGCCAAACCACAAGAAAGACGACTATCATTGTGAAAAAGATAAGGCGGATGGGCTGGTGGGCTGCTGCAAGATTGTTTGGCAGCTGCTTCACTGGCCGGTATTTTCAAATAGAGGGAACCAACAACAACAGGGAGGCATCATAAGTCCAGAATGAGGATTGAACGTGGATTGAAGCAACAACAGTGACAGTGGGGATATGAACCAAGATGATGAACCAAGTAAAATTTCAAATACACACCGAATGAATACAGCATGATAACATGTTGATTTTCCATCTCTAGCTTGGAGAGAGAGAGAGAGAGATACACTTCCTGCAGCAAATTCGCAGGGGTGTTTTGTTTTTATTTGTTTTTTTAGTTCCACTCATCCATGCTGCTTCATGTTCATTTGTTACTGCCAAGGGTCTTTGGCAGCCGCCATTGGTACACCCTGGCTGCTGATTTGCAGGACCATTTCCATGTGAATTTCACCACGGAGCACTACCCACAAATACAATTCAAGTGTGCCTTGACTGTCCGGATTAGGGGATCTGGATTGATCTGGGGTACACATAGTATACTGTAAGTACAGGGTCTCAATGTTGAAACAGAAAGGTCTCCCAACTTTACGTTTCTGATTTTGGGAGATTTTAAGAATAAACCAGTCTAGGGTTGTCTCAAAATTTGGACCCCGAAACTCGTGGCACTATGTTCCGAGAAAATTTAAAACAATTCCCGTATATTTTGGGTGCGATCCCCCTCTTACGGGATTCTTCCATTTTGAAGCCCTAGCAGGAGAAAATTGAGGTTGTAGATGCCTTTATAGATTTGCAAGCTTGGGTAGACAGGTGAAGTTTTCAACAACTTTGGCGGCCTCAAACATATTCAGCCCTCGCCCCCAGTTCCATGATGTTCCACGTGGTTATCCATGGTGCTTGTACGTTGGGGATCAGGATAACCATGGATAACCCATAGCGGCTGGGCTTCCATGGGGTTCCCATCAACCAGCACACTGCGATGGGAGGCGCTAAAGACGCCCATTGCAACGTTGGGCTCCGATGGCAGCGCGCTCGGAAAGCTGGCGAGGAATCGCACTTCGAGTTGGCCCCAAGGGAAAGCGGAGACACTTGGTGTCGAAGCTGCTGAGATGGCGATAGGTTTTGTAAAATGGGGGTACCCCATGGTACCCCAAGGCACCATGGGTTTTCAATACTAAGTCTTACTAAGTCATGGTCTAGTGATTTGGATTGATTTGGATGATTTGGGGTACCCCCGTTTGAGAAACCTTTATTTGTTCCAATCTAAAATTCCACCATGACCCTTGGAAATCTCTAGGGAATCTCTATAGGAAAGATATGGGAAGATGAGTTTCTTTTTTTCCCGAATGCAGAGCGAAGGGTTCCCGTTTAACTGTGGAGGTCTGGGGGCCGGGGGTGTGTTCACTCGCTGTTTCGGCCTGCAACCGCGCGAGGGCCCTATGGCAGGGCCGCTGGGGAAGAGGGGGCGGGGAGGGCGGGTGGGTGAGAACGGGGGGAGGGCGGGGGCATTCGAGTTCGCGGATTTGTCTTGTTTGTGGGGTGCATGATGATCATGGCTGGGACCCCTGAACACCAAAATCCAAGGAGAACAAAGACTGCTGCAACTCGGAGTATGTCCGAGAAGATTATCCGTTGGCTGAACGCCTGGTCTCGCGTTGCCTCGGTGAACTGCCGAAACCCAAAATGCCCAAGAAGAAATGAGGCAATGAGGTGTGGCTGACCCAAAGTTGTCAGGCCCTCCCAAAAACCTCCAAAGATCTCCAAAGTAGCTCCAAATGGAACAACATTTGTAGGCATTTATGACTTATGATCATTTATGGTTTATGGATGTTTATGGTGGGGTTGCCACATTGAGGTGAGGGAAGGTGCTCAAAGCAAGCATTCCCAGAGCTTTCTTGTGTTCTGTGGTCATTTCTTGACTGTGGGGGCTGGGGTCGACCCAGTCCCTCGCGATGTAAGCGGAAAAAGTTCCAGGTCAAGCCGCTATACCCCTTGCTACGGGGCTGGGCTCGCCTCGCTTTACTTGTTCGGCATGTTGAGCATGGACATATAATATAATTGTATAATTGTGAATTTCATATAGTTACCGCATGTTACTATATCTTTCTGTTAAATTATCCATCCTCATTTTTGTTTGTTCAGGTTTCTGATTCCTTTTCGATTGAATCCCCAATGGAATCCCCAATTTGGCACCTCAGATGGACTGTAAAAACCATCCCTCAATGATACGTCTAGAAATCCAGAAAGTATCATTGGCTTTACCACATGCGATGATCCAATATCTCAGATGTTGTTGGTCAAATCCACATAGTAGAGTTGACCACATTGATATTGCCATTAACATCATTAACATATAGCAATATCCAGACACTATCTCACTATCCCATGTAGAATTCACAATTCTCATAGGTACAATGATGGTATGGTTAAATCGCTCATGTTGATCCAATCATGCCATGGGTGCCACATGGTGCCACCCGATCCCTCTTTTTGTTGACCCCTCCAGGTGAACGGCGCTGGGTCCTGGCCGAAGCCTTGCAGACCACCATGGTCTTCAAGGCTTCTGCGAGAGAATCCCAGAGATATGGGTCAGCGGTGTGTTTGCCTCCCGGGACTGCCAGACAACTTGAAAGGGCAACTGTTGGGCCCCAAGTAAGCCCCCAGATTTCTCACAGGTTTCAAACTGAAGTGCGACAGTGCAGTGTGCAGGTTACTTTTGCAGACCTTTGGAGGGTTGAGCCAATGTTGAGCCTTGCGGAGTGACATGATACTGAAGGTGTTCTGAAAGGAAGTCAGCCCAAACATGCCCAAACCAAATTTGTCATTGAAACCATGGCTCGATGAAACGTTTGGCTGGAGCCTTGAAGATGAACGCCGTGTTGATCTTCAATGCCTCGGCCAGACCTTTCATTCACTCGTGGTTTCCATGACAAAGCTGGCAAAAACATGTGTTCAGTCGTAGACCTTCCATGTCATGGCGACCATGACGAACCTGGACTTTCCGACCTGCAGTCCAGTCGAGCTTCTTGAGGTACAGCATGAACAAGGGACCATGCCGTGCATCATGCAGGTCATCCATGTCATTTTTTTTGATGGCATTTTTGCCCATTGATTCGATTGATGCTACTTCACGCAGAGAAATTGTCCAAGACGCAGACGTTTTCACGTATGATGGGGGCCATTTGAAACTGATAATGAAGCGCACTGAAATGCCAAGAGGCAGTGCAGTGCGACAGTGCAGTGTCAGGTTACTTTTGCAGACCTTTGGAGGGTTGAGCCAATGTTGAGCCTTGCGAAGTGACATGATACTGAAGGTGTTCTGAAAGGAAGTCAGCCCAAACATGCCCAAACCAAATTTGTCATTGAAACCATGGCTCGATGAAACGTTTGGCTGGGGCCTTGAAGATCACGCCGTGTTGACCTTCAATCCTTCGGCCAGACCTTTCATTCACTCGTGGTTTCCATGACAAAGCTGGCAAAAACATGTGTTCAGTCGTAGACTCGCCAATTGGTATGGTACAGGATGGGGCCCCCAGTCACTTGTTGCGTTCAGTTGCCCGAGGTGTGGCTGACCCAAAGTTGTCAGGCCCTCCCAAAAACCTCCAAAGATCTCCGAAGTAGCTCCAAATGGAACAACATTTGTAGGCATTTATGACTTATGATCATTTATGGTTTATGGATGTTTATGGTGGGGTTGCCACATTGAGGTGAGGAAAGGTGCTCAAAGCAAGCATTCCCAGAGCTTTCTTGTGTTCTGTGGTCATTTCTTGACTGTGGGGGCTGGGACCCAGTCCCTCGCGATGTAAGCGGAAAAAGTTCCAGGTCAAGCCGCTATACCCCTTGCTACGGGGCTGGGCTCGCCTCACTTTACTTGTTCGGCATGTTGAGCATGGACATATTTAATATAATTGATTATAATTGTGAATTTCATATAGTTACCGCATGTTACTATATCTTTCTGTTAAATTATCCATCCTCATTTTTGTTTGTTCAGGTTTCCGATTCCTTTTCGATTGAACCCCCAATGGAATCCCCAAAAACGCACCTCAGACGGACTGTAAAAACCATCCCTCAATGATACGGACTGTGAAAGTATCATTGGCTTTACCACATTCGATGATCCAATATCCCCAGATGTTGTTGGTCAAATCCACATAGTAGAGTTGACCACATTGATATTGCCATTAACATCATTAACATATAGCACTATCCATACACTATCTCACTATCCCATGTAGAATTCACAATTCTCATAGGTACAATGATGGTATGGTTAAATCGCTCATGTTGATCCAATCATGCCATGGGTGCCACATGGTGCCACCCGATCCCTCTTTTTGTTGACCCGTCCAGGTGAACGGCGCTGGGTCCTGGCCGAAGCCTTGCAGACCACCATGGTCTTCAAGGCTTCTGCGAGAGAATCCCAGAGATATGGGTCAGCGGTGTGTTTGCCTCCCGGGACTGCCAGACAACTTGAAAGGGCAACTGTTGGGCCCCAAGTAAGCCCCCAGATTTCTCACAGGTTTCAAACTGCAGTGCGACAGTGCAGTGTGCAGGTTGAGCCAATGTTGAGCCTTGCGGAGTGACATGATACTGAGGGTGTTCTGAAAGGAAGCCAGCCCAAACATGCCCAAACCAAATTTGTCATTGAAGCCATGGCTCGATGAAACGTTTGGCTGGGGCCTTGAAGATCACGCCGTGTTGACCTCCAAGGCTTCGGCCAGACCTTTCATTCACTCGTGGTTTCCATGACAAAGCTGGCAACAACATGTGTTCAGTCGTAGACCTTCCATGTCATGGCGACCAGGACGAACCTGGACTTTCCGACCTGCAGTCCAGTCGAGCTTCTTGAGGTACAGCATGAACAAGGGACCATGCCGTGCATCATGCAGGTCATCAATGTCATTTTTTTTTGATGGCATTTTTGCCCATTGATTCGATTGATGCTACTTCACGCAGAGAAATTGTCCAAGACGCAGACATTTTCACGTATGATGGGGGCCATTTGAAACTGAAAATGAAGCGCACTGAAATGCCAAGAGGCAGTGCAGTGCGACAGTGCAGTGTGCAGGTTACTTTTGCAGACCTTTGGAGGGTTGAGCCAATGTTGAGCCTTGCGGAGTGACATGATACTGAAGGTGTTCTGAAAGGAAGTCAGCCCAAACGTGCCCAAACCAAATTTGTCATTGAAACCATGGCTCGATGAAACGTTTGGCTGGGGCCTTGAAGATCACGCCGTGTTGACCTCCAAGGCTTTGGCCAGACCTTTCATTCACTCGTGGTTTCCATGACAAAGCTGGCAAAAACATGTGTTCAGTCGTAGACCTTCCATGTCATGGCGACCATGACGAACCTGGACTTTCCGACCTGCAGTCCAGTCGAGCTTCTTGAGGTACAGCATGAACAAGGGACCATGCCGTGCATCATGCAGGTCATCCATGTCATTTTTTTGGATGGCATTTTTGCCCATTGATTCGATTGATGCTACTTCACGCAGAGAAATTGTCCAAGACGCAGACGTTTTCACGTATGATGGGGGCCATTTGAAACTGATAATGAAGCGCACTGAAATGCCAAGAGGCAGTGCAGTGCGACAGTGCAGTGTGCAGGTTACTTTTGCAGACCTTTGGAGCGTTGAGCCAATGTTGAGCCTTGCGGAGTGACATGATACTGAAGGTGTTCTGAAAGGAAGTCAGCCCAAACGTGCCCAAACCAAATTTGTCATTGAAACCATGGCTCGATGAAACGTTTGGCTGGGGCCTTGAAGATCACGCCGTGTTGACCTCCAAGGCTTCGGCCAGACCTTTCATTCACTCGTGGTTTCCATGACAAAGCTGGCAACAACATGTGTTCAGTCGTAGACCTTCCATGTCATGGCGACCATGACGAACCTGGACTTTCCGGCCTGCAGTCCAGTCGAGCTTCTTGAGGTACAGCATGAACAAGGGACCATGCCGTGCATCATGCAGGTCATCCATGTCATTTTTTTTTGATGGCATTTTTGCCCATTGATTCGATTGATGCTACTTCACGCAGAGAAATTGTCCAAGACACAGACGTTTTCACGTTTGATGGGGGCCATTTGAAACTGATAATGAAGCGCACTGAAATGCCAAGAGGCAGTGCAGTGCGACAGTGCAGTGTGCAGGTTACTTTTGCAGACCTTTGGAGGGTTGAGCCAATGTTGAGCCTTGTGGAGTGACATGATACTGAAGGTGTTCTGAAAGGAAGTAAGCCCAAACCAAATTTGTCATTGAAACCATGGCTCGATGAAACGTTTGGCTGGGGCCTTGAAGATCAACGCCGTGTTGATCTTCAATGCCTCGGCCAGACCTTTCATTCACTCGTGGTTTCCATGACAGCTGGCAAAAACATGTGATCAGTCGTAGACCTTCCATGTCATGGCGACCATGACGAACCTGGACTTTCCGGCATGCAGTCCAGTCGAGCTTCTTGAGGTACAGCATGAACAAGGGACCATGCCGTGCATCATGCAGGTCATCCATGTCATTTTTTTTGATGGCATTTTTGCCCATTGATTCGATTGATGCTACTTCACGCAGAGAAATTGTCCAAGACGCAGACGTTTTCACGTATGATGGGGGCCATTTGAAACTGATAATGAAGCGCACTGAAATGCCAAGAGGCAGTGCAGTGCGACAGTGCAGTGTCAGGTTACTTTTGCAGACCTTTGGAGGGTTGAGCCAATGTTGAGCCTTGCGGAGTGACATGATACTGAAGGTGTTCTGAAAGGAAGTAAGCCCAAACCAAATTTGTCATTGAAACCATGGCTCGATGAAACGTTTGGCTGGGGCCTTGAAGATCAACGCCGTGTTGATCTTCAATGCCTCGGCCAGACC